ACAAGAGACAATACAATAATCTTAGTGCTTTATACTTGTTTAACTATTTAATCCCGTATCGACAGATTCAAGAATGAGCACTAAGTAGAACAATAAAGATGCTGCTATCTTGATTGTGCACACTGCTGTATTCTGTCATTACTCCATAGTGTAAAATTAACTGCTAAAGTATCTTCTGGCTTAAGCGGTGAAAACAAATGATAGCGTCATGACGAGTTCAGAATGTAATTATTCTTGCAAGATGTTTTATTGGGAAATGTTGCATGTTACAGATCAGCTGAGGCAGAATAATTTGTTGGGCAAATGAATTTTATGCCTTAATACCAATAAATTTCTTAAATGCTACAAAAATAGTCTAAAGTGTGGCAGTGCATATTTTTAAAATGCTACAAAAATAGTCTAAAGTGTGGCAGTGCATACAAAGAGCATTCTTTGCATTTTTAAAATGTATTATAAGAAGCACATTAAAATGAACACACAAAGGTACATTTTCGAGTAATGTGTGGCCTGCAATGTTTCTACTATGGGCCTCACAAACCTCTGGTAGCTGTTTTTATACTACAACAACAACAACAACAATGAGTTTAATACAGTCAAAGGGGAGAAAAGGCTTTGGGAAGGGGTGGATGTGGATCAAATAAGTGGTGCTGAGCACAAAGCCTTTCTGCATCTCTATTCCCAGTCACAGTCACCTGCCCAAGTTGCTTTTCCCCTTCTGGGCTTTCAAAGGGATGTGCTTTCAAATAAACAGTTTGGAGAGGAAAAGCAGCTGGCGGGGAAAAAGCTAAGCACACCCTCCCCTCCCCAACACCTTTATTTAGGATATTTCCAGGGCTCTTTTTGGGCAGGAACACACAGGAACGGAGTTCCGGCTGGCTCCCAAGTTGGTCACACCCAGCAGGAACTCATTAGCATAATAGGCCACACCCAACAGCAGAAACTCATTAGGATTGGCTACATTAGGGGTGTGTGGCCTGCTACAAAGAAAGCCCTGGGTTTTGACAATAAACAAGGTAAACAGAATAAGAAGCAAAAGGTGGGTGTGGCTGGATGACCACACTTCTGGTAACATGGGGTGTGGCCTAATATGCTAATGAGCTATGCTGTCAAGGGTGTGGCCTGATATGGTAATGAGTTCCTGCTGTTGGGTATGGCCTATTATGCTAATGAGTTCCTGCTGGGCTTTTTCTACAAAAAGAGCCCTGGATATTTCTATGCTGTCTCTCCCCTGCCAAAGCAATTTCTCTCTTCCTTTCATTTTAAAACGGTCTCTAGGTTTGTTACATCTATTTGGTTGTAACATTCAGATCGGCCACATCATTCCAAGTGAGATTCAACTTGTGTGAAATAAGTCAAGATGGGTAGCCGTGTCAGTCTCTTTGTGGCAGTAGAAAAGAGCAAGAGTCCCGTAGCACCTTAAAGACCAACACAACTTGTGGCAGGGGGTGAGGTTTCATGAGTCACTGCTTGCTTGTTCAGATATCTGAAACACCAAGGATAAAATGCAAGAAGGCTGAAGTCGCATCTGCGTGATGAACCCTGATGTTCAGCAGCTCAGAACCAGGCCTCTGTGTGCTGCATGGATCTCACAGTGATGGAGAGAGAGAGACAGAACTCCCCTCTATCCAGTCCACAGGACCTGGAACATCCCTTGCACAGGCATGCCACTGTGGCCATAGAACATGAAAATTAAGACTTGATCTCATGTGCAGCAAGATGACATCATTAGGTGGGAGGCTGAAATGTGACAAACTGTAGGTGAGGATTGCTATTTTCAACCCTTCCCCACATAGAAGTCCCTCCAAATAGAAAACTAGCCCATTTGGGCCAAGGGTACTCTTTGCTGTACTAATGCTCCACTTACAGATAATGTTTTCTTTGCACACAAGAACATTATAAGAGTGCCCCTTCCCTTCCTATCAACTCAGGACTTTATCACATTGTTGTAGGGCCTTCATATGGAGGGCGAGAAGCAGCCAGGCACACATCCCTTCCTCATACTTAGATACATACCCACCCCCGGTTCCCCAGCCAGCTTGAAATTGCTGTCCATGAGGTGATCATGTGGAGGCAGGTGCCCAGATATCTACTCCCCATGGAACCTTTGTATTTAGTGTCAGTAGTATTTTTTAAAATTCCTGTTTACTTATTTTGGCTGGAAAACAGTATCTTTCCCTTTATATATAAAAAATCTTTCCTTTTATATAATTGTGAAGTGGGGTGGCACTTTCCAGCTCTCCCATAGGCTGTGCAATGTGCTCCCTCAGTCATTGGCCTGTCAGCCGCCACTCAAGAGTACTTGCATGCCATTGGCTGGGTGCTGGGTCTGCTCCTCTTCCCCACCCACTCCCCTTCAGCCACTGTTCCCTGTCAGAAG